ATTTAGCACATACATGACTCGCTTGCTTCTTTACTATACAGTCCTTATCATTTATGTGTCAGAAGCCCTGTGACTGAAATGTTGCATGTTCTATTCTTAGAGATTTCCAGTTTGAGTAAGAAAACACTACCAGACTTACACTCAAAATAACAGTACTGTGCTTTCTACCCTCAAATCTGAGGCCAAAATATTAAAGAGAAAAATGCAACCACTTGGAAGGAGTCTACAGGGAATGGTTGCTATAGAAAATGTAAGTAAGTTGTAACACGTGCCAAGTAGATCTTCAGCCTGACATACTCTTTTCTAAATGACATTTCAGTGCACACGGATATCAGATCATTGATAAAATGGACCGGTGATGCTTAAAAAGAAGACATATAGATGCCAAGCTTAAAACACATCCAAAAGGAGAAAGCAGTTGAAAAGTTAATTATCTTTATGAACTTTTACCCTGCCCCACTATTTACATATTGCTGGCTGGACTGGGCGGTAATATTGGAGACTATGAAGCTGATGCTCTTTGCTTTTTAAATTTCTAAAAGCTGTAAACAATGGATCCGCGTCAGTAGGTAGTGCAGGCTTGTGGAGTCATACGTGAGCCATTTCTCCTCCTTCAGAAATTCATGACCAGAGACAGCTGCGGGAAAACTGCCTTTTCCATCCCACCAAAGCCGGTGGCCCTCCTGTGGCACACAGGACAGATGTCTCAGGGGATCCCCAGTTTCTGGCCCTTTATGTACACATCCTTAGCTCTACATAATGGTGTTCTATAAACATCCATGACGAGTGGCATCATCCTCCATGTTGTCTACTCTATTACAAATTACTTGACCCTCCCACTGGGAAGAATAGTATTGATATGACTGTTTTCTTATTCTGTTGAATGAATCTCTCAAGGCTGGACGTTTTAGGCACTATGATCATCACAGAGGACCTATAACTCCAAGCAGGTCCTCTCAGATCACCACTCTTTCTGAGCAGCAAGCACAGAGGGAATGGGGAAATGACCCGGTGACCCTGTGAGAAGCTTCTCGGTGAAGCGAGTCATGTGTTCAGCAAGGCATGACCAGTGGGCACAGAGCAGAAACTTGGGATCGCTCCAAAGAGGGGAGCTACAGACAGACTAGCCAGTGACACACCCAGTGAGACTATCTCCAAGCAAACCTTCACAGAGGAATAAAGAATGTTTTTGTCGGAAGATTTCCAAGACTTCAACCGCAAGATGAGGAGATTGCTGACTGCTATCAGTAGCCAAACGATGTGTTCAGAGCACAGAAATAATTGTGCCAGAGCAAAGCAGGGCTCTGGATAGTCATGTAGAAACAACTATTTTATATTTTTTTAAGTATGGAGGGTAACAAACAGCCTGTATGAATACTAGCGAACACTAAAGAAATGAGACAGATTATGGATACCATTGCTAAAACTCAAAGAGCTAAAATAACCTAAGAACTCTAGTCAGTATTTTCATTAATTTAGGGCAAAAAATTTTTAAAGGGAAGGGGTAGTTTCTAACTCACTGCTAATAAAGTCAAGAGAATGTGTATCTCAAATAAACAGTGTAAGAACAGAGCAGGTAACAGCTCCATTGATAAACATCTGCCTGCCTGCAAGCACAAGGACCTGAGATCAGATCGTCTGCACCCATGTAAAAGCCAGGCATGGAGTCTCACAATCCCAGCATATGAAAGGTAGAGGTAAGGGGAGCCATGGATCTCACTGTGCAAACCAGTCTCAGCAAGCTGCTCTATTCCAGATGCAGTGAACTTCTCATTGCAATGAAATAAACTAGAGAGTGACCATAGCGGGCACCCAGTGTTGAAGGCCTCTCCATGGAAAAACACAGATGTACACAACACACATGTATGTACAGAGAATTTACATAACATATACACATAAGTGTACACAACACAAACACACACACACACACACACACACACACACACACCAGCTTTCGGCTCACTAGATACCAAATCAGACTTGCTAGAGCAAAGATTATTACCATAAACAGGCTCACCCCAGTTGTCCATCAACCTGACAAATAAATGCGCAAGAAGTACTTGCTACTCGGATGTGCACTGAGACTCCAGTGCAGAGGTGGCTTCCAGTGTGGAGTCTGGCATGCCACTCTGCTATCAGCTGAGTGAAAGCTGTAAGACTGTCCCCTGACTCCAGACGTGGATAGTTCAGAATGCCAATTTAAAGAACGAGAAGCAGCCTGGAGGATAGAAGCTGCCGAAACCTACGAGATAAGATAGCGAGAATCTCACTAACGGTAAAAAATAATGAGATTGCTGAAAATGGCAATTTTATTTCTATAGACATAGAGATTTATATAGATATATACTTTATTAACAGCCTACTCTAAAACATGTATGAATGTAGTTAAGTATTTGTTATCACTATTAGAGAAGAAATTACATTAATTTTAATTTGTATTACTTTGGAACAATTCAGAAATATTTCTACTCTAATTTGTTCTTTTTGGGTCAAAAGAGTGTTTTCAGTCAACTCTGGATAGTCTTACTTGTAATGATATGCCCATCACTTAGCCTAGGTATAGTTTTTAGGAATCATTTCAAACCACTCAGACCAGAACTGTGCATAAGCTGCAGTTAAATCCAGAACGGGTGTCACAATGAACAAAGATCTGAAACCAGTCAAAGCTCAGAGAATGAGAGGCTGCGTAGTCTTGGCCCTAGATGGACATCTGTGTCTTCCTGCCTCCTCCCAGGGTTCTGGGAACAACAAAGAGGAGGGGCAAAAAGATCAGAAGAACCAGAAGTGGAAAAGCAACAGAGTAGCTGCTCGTATGAACTCACAACTGTTGGGACAGCCTGCACAAGACTTGTGCAAGATGAAGCCAGACACAATCCCAGTGGGGAGTGGGGAGATGGCCGTGAAGTCCCACCCCTACTGAGGAACTATTGGCAATTGGTGTTACTAAGAAAGGGGAGTCAGTTTTCTGCAGGGATGCAGCAGCTGAGAGGTCATCCATGCCCCACTAAGCCTATACACATCACATACTGGCAGCACCAAATGGACAAACTGGATTCAACAACAATAACAAAGCAAAAACAAAACAAAAGACCAAAATAGCAAACGAAAAACCATGAAATTGTGGGGGCAGGAGAAGAGGAGTTGGATTTGAGGGAAATGGGGGGAAGACTTTACCCAAATATAGATGAATGCATGAAACTCTCAAACAATTAACAATACAGGAAGAGGTGCCACCATGAGATATGGTTACTCTAGCCACACATTCTGAGCAATCACTAATCATTAGAAATATGTAAACCACAAGGGACCTCTTTAAGTAGAGCATCTCCTTAGGCTCCATACTCTCATAAACTAAATGTAACAGCACATTTTCATAGACACATTTCTGCAAAATGCCATCAAATTCCTCAAGATTGTGGAGCTTAGTATCATAAATAGCTCCTTTTCTACAAACCCTTTCAAAGCCAGACTCAGCGCTAAGGGTCACATGGTTCTCAATAAAGGCATTTTCTCTTCATCTTCTGAACACATGAGAAATCTCTCTATCTTCTGAACACATGAGAAAACCCTTAAATGATACAGTTTTCAAATCAAGATAATTTCTCCTCTGTCGCCCACTGGGCAGACCATGCAGCCTAATTAAGTGAGTTTAAATACTACTCAATAAGGATTGTGAGCACACAGCTGAGTGAGGAGGAACAGAAAAATCTTTGCAACTTCATCCATGGCCCTGAGGGTGCTGTTCCAAGTATACATTAGGTAAAACTATATAAATTGACATTTCTGTGAATCACAACTGGTTTAACAGTAGATCTGTAACCAGTCAAGGAGACTCGATGGAACTTTATATGGAATGAATTAATGATATTCTCAAACAAAGGTGTTTGGACAGCTGCCAACAAAGCTGGTTTCCACGGCCATCCTCCTAACAACGCGTGTGGACACCAAGTTCCGCAGTTTATGCAAACCTAAACTGGTATTGAGCACAGCAGTTCCATGGATCAGGCAGATTAAGTGCCCTGATCTCAGCTTTGCAGATGAGAAAAATAAGGTGCAAACATTAAATCACTGGTAAATGTGTATAAAAGCTAAGTCACCTCTGTGAACTTAATGGGAAAAGGAATCTAACCCTTTCTTTTGGCATCTTTATTGCAAATAGCATCCTTCAAAAGGCGAATCAAAGGTATCTAAGGGCACCTTGTGAACCAGCATGATGGTACACACTGGGCTCCCGTCACCAAAAAGAAAGAAAACATTTAGGTTCTAGTAGCTCACTCCCAGGGTGTACATGTGGACAGATTCCAGAAACATCTACGTGATAAGAGGCTAGATTGGAATTACCAAGTGCTTTCAAAATATGTGGGTGGGAACTCAAGTACATTCTTATAATTTATTTACCTACTTCTGCAACTCATACTTTTCTCTAGAATTTTATCCTTTTCCTCACAGGCCCGTCTCTTATCCACAAAGGTCACAAGTCTGGTTAACTGGAGACTCAAACACTGCACAAAGCAAACACTGTGGACCGCACACCATCAGTCAGGGCACCAGCCTGGTAACTTGTGGTAACCACAGCCTGGAATGCAGCTCACAATGGCATCTATTAACTAAGTAAACAGTCAATGACTCAAATCGATTTAGGCAATGTAATGACTCCACTTAACCCTAAAGAGACACTTGCCACACTGATCATTGTATCTTCCTGATGAAAGGGATCCTGTATATTAACTTGAAAATGAGGCAATTATATAGAGTGTGAGCTATAGTCAGATACGATCAAGTTCCTCCTCAACTATCTGCCCATAAAGCAATGACAGGCTCTTACTTATTTACTAATTAAAAATAATATATATTTTACCAACACTATCTTTAGATACCAAGACCGATAACCCCTTCTCTACTGTCTCAGACTGGGGAGGTGTCAGCTTACTGGGATCAAATCTCACTTGGGACCAAGGACACAACCCTGTGACTGTAGAGAGCGAGCCTTAAATACTTACTCACACAGCAGAACACCATTTTCTAGAGAGGCTCGAAAATCCTTGGTTTCAAAATTCTTCTCAGTCACAGCCTGAAAGACAGATTTGGGCATTCAGTAAGTAGGGACGAGAAACAAAGTAAATTCACAATGCTGTTAACTAATAAGCATTTGATGTTTTAGCTGAATGATTTGCGCGTATCTCCAAAAGTCATCCTCATAGGAAATGTATACAATTCTGTGTTATAACCATGTTGGAGTGAATAAGCACACAGAAACAAGTGTGTCCTGTGGTGTAATCATTTTATTGGATGATAGACTAAGGTTATAGAGGCCATGAATTTGAGGAAGAGCAAGGGTAGATGGGAAGGTTCAAAAGGAGGAAAGGGAAGGGGGACTGATGTGACTGTACTATAACCTCAAACAAAAATGAAGAAATATTTTTTTAAAAACTAAACTAATTTTTTTTTGATTTTTCAAGACAGGGTTTCTCTCTAGCTTTGGAGCCTGTCCTGGAGCCTCTTGTAGACCAGGCTGGCCTCGAACTCAGAGAAATCTGCCTGCCTCTGTCCCCCGAGTACTGGGATTAAAGGCATGTGCCACCACTGCCCAGCTAAACTAAATATCTAACGAGTTTCAAAAGAGAACTATGGATGAGTCAGTAAGAGTAAATAAACAATTTAGTATAGAAACTTGAAACAGCATTCACAAGTAAATCTGTACATCATTTATTTCGATTCCATCCTTAAATTCCTCATTTCACCACATCGCTAAAGAGCAGAGGGATGATTCTCAAACTTACTCATGAAGATATCCAACTTGTGCTTATCAGCACTAGTTATTTTGATTAGCCATGTATGTAATAATGTGTACGTTGTGCGATGTGAGCAAGGTGTGTGTACACACACGTGGGGGTGCACCTGTAAACATAGCTGCAGAGGCCAGAGGATGCTCTACTTTACCAAGCTCTGTCTTCTCCTTTGAGACAAGGTCTCTCACTGCACCTGGAGCTGGGCTCAGAGCCAGCAAGCCCCAAGATCCTCTTGTTGCCTCTTCTCTCTGCAGCAGTTGGGGGCACCGTCCCACATGCTCTTTACTTGGGTGCCGGGGCCTGACCTCAGGTCTCCCTGCCTGCACAGCATGCACTAAGCCATTTCCAGAGAGTTATCTATCCACACAGCCTAAGGAGATGCTAAACCCTTGCACAGAAAGACAAGAGTGAGTCAAAATGGCAAATGCTTGGATTGGACAATTCCCAGCTGTCAGGCTGTCCATAGTTACCACCACTGATGGTCTTAGGGAAACATCTAGGAAAAATAGCCAGGTTCAGTCTCTCGAGGAAGGACATGCTGGAACGGGTAGGGAGCTCCACAGGGGCAGCATTGGCAGAAAACGGGGAGATGACACCAGGGCAAAGCAGTTCCAAAAATAACTCCCCGGCCCATGTTCTCAGCCCTGGGGGTTGTGACAGCAGCTACCCCCCATATAAATATTCAGTAGATGGCAGCGGGAATCCTTGTCCACCTGCCATCTGGAGAAAACTACACTTCTAGAATCATGCATTTGAAAGTCATGAATCTTACATCCCAGGTTGGGTAAAGGGGTCAGGCACATGATGCAATAATGTTCACTATTCTCAACTCTCGCTGCTGCTGTGTCTGTCATTCACCGAGAACTCTGAATTCCATAATGTCCCATAGCGCCTGAGATTGCTACAGCCAGATAGCAGGCCTGAGAAATCAGGTGATGACTTCACAGCTGCTTTTCTGCTCAAAGTTAGCAGAGCAGAGCACGGTGATGTGTGCCTGTATTCTATAAGAGGGACCAACAGACACACACACATGCATGCATACACACATACACACACACACACACACACACACACGGGACAGGGACAGAGAGAGGAAAGGGAGAAAGATTGACTTAGTTTCTCATCAGTTGGTTTTATAAGTGTCTGGCCAGGCTGTGATATCTTCAAACCCAGGAAGAAATAGAGGGTCCATCACCATCTACAGCAATCACCTGTATGAGATCCACACAGCTGCGGAAATTAAACACAATCCTTCTGTCTCTGTTCCTGCTGGGAATACAGAGCTGAAGGTTAATAATAAAGAAGGAGTAGCTTTGCCCTCTCAGGGCTCAGTCACAGAAGTAAAGACCACATTTAAAAGCATAGTTTTAAAAAAAAAATCAAAAAATAAAAAACCTGTCTAGACAGAATGATGTACTCCTTTCAGAATTACCGGATTAGCTCAGATAACCTATGCAACCAACTCCAGAATTTCCCCACAAACATATCAGAAACAAACTCAAAGTGAGGGTGGATCCAAGTATGGAAAACACCAAGGCAGCTAATTCTTCAGAAATCTCCTCCCCATAGTCAAAGAGCGAGACCGAGAAATGTTCGACACAGTCAGAGTCACTATCTCCAATCCAAGCAAAGCCCTCGGGAGCACCAGTCTCAGGCAGCCATGACATTCTCGAGCCATTTCGATGAGATATGGTGAGCGAGAAGAAAGGCCGTGATCCGCAGATACAAGGCGAGCAATGAAAAACAACAGCTACCACAGTGCGCGGCCAGTCCGGAGAGCAGAGTGTAGCAAGGGACAGGAGGGAAGGGACTTGAGTCACACCAAGCTTAACTCCACTTTCACTGCCTAAGAGTTATGAGTTATCAAACACATTAAATCATCTCCCCCAAGTCTGGAGATCCAAAAGAGGGGAAATAAAAGTAAGATCACTCATGTGAAAAGGGCTGCCAAGCGTCCATGTCCATGACATGAGTGAATTCTGAAGTTGTCACTTGTCCATACTCCAGTAATTTAACACACAGCTTGGCAGAATTATGCCTAGAATCCCATTAAATAAAGTCAAGATGCTGAAATAGAGCTATTCAGAAACCCTAACTGCCCCCCCACACACACACAAAGAGCTCATTTTAAAAGATTACAGAGCAGGGACTGGATAGTTGACTTGGTGGTTAGAGCCCTGCTCTTCCAGAGGATCCAGGTCCCACCACCCACACAGTGGCTAACAACCATCTGTAACTCGAGTCCCCGAGGTCCAGTGCCCTCTGCTGGCCTCCCCAGGCTCTGTACACACACATACATACGTGCACACTGAATTTTGTACCTGTAATGACTCTTGTCTGCCAGTAAGCTGCGGGGGCACACCTGAATCCACATGGCAATGGCGCTGACCCGGAAAGCAAATTCTAAAATATATACTCTCAAATCCAGAGGTTAAATTCACAGATCGAGTGCTGGGGGAAGACAGTGCCCAATGCGGGTAGCAAAAGCCAAGGAAGTTAGTTGCGCGGCCCCACAAATGCGGCTAGGAACTAGCTAGAACCCAGGTGTGGTGTGCGCTCAGGCTGCTAGGCCCGCGCCACGAGGGGGAAAAAGGCCCACGTTCATATATACACATGTGTGTTCGTGTGAGAGAGAATGAAAATAAAACTTCGATACTCTAAAATTTCATCCAATGAAAATTCTTTTTGAATACTTTAATTTTCTCTAGACATTTTATGCACATTAGAAAACGAGCATACTCCAGGTTGGTGGTGGCATACACCTTTAATCCCAGCACTCAGGAGTCAAAGGCAAGCAGATCTCTGAGTTCAAGGACATCCTGGCCTACAGAGTGAGTTCTGGGACAGCCAGAGCTATACAGAAAATTCTTGTCTCAAAAAAACAGGAAGGAAGGAAGGGAGGGAGGGAGGGAAGCAGAAGGAAAGGAGGGAAAATGTGTGTGCTGTACATACTGCCTACCCCATCTCAGTAACTCAAAATAATTAATTCTCAGGCAGCAATTTCTGCATCCATACATAAATAAAGTTAGCTGTAACCCTGCCTGCAGAACCGAAGCGAAATGATACAAAACTCTTGAGACTTTTAAACAAAGGGAAGCATAAATTCACAGTAAGGATGTCTTTCAACACTAGAGCCCACCTGAGCTGCATTCCCTAAGGTCACTCCCCAGCATCTCCAGCTGCCCAGGTAAGGCTGGGTCAGGATTCTGGCTCCTATGAGTCTGTGTTTCAACTCCTGCTCTGTCTCTATCTACCAGTGACTGTCCAGACTGCTTCACCTGTTGGCATCCTCACCCGTGAGACGGAGACTACAGGTCTTGTGGAGCTAGGCTGGGAATTAAGTGAGATGACACACTTAATTAAGATGATAGACTTACTGCCTGGCTCAGAAGCAGTCACAGACACTAGCTGTTACAGCAGCTCCTGTCTAGCCTGAGAGCAACTCTGACCGTCTTTCCACAGTAGAGACAAAGCTGTGTCCTTCAACATGGATGTCTAACTTGCATGGTATTAATGTAACATTCTTTAAAGAAACTGACTCCAGATTATAAAAAGTTACTAAATCCATTCTGTATCTAAAAACATTGTTAAAAATTATAACGATCTGTAAAATACTCGCAATACGATGAGGAAAGTTTGTTTCTAAAAATTAAATTACAGGGTTTTTTGGGGTTTTTTATTTTATTGTTTTTTGTTTGTTTGTTTTTTCATTTTATTGAGCTATACATTTTTCTCTGTTCCCCTCCCTGCCTCTCACCTCCCCTTCAACCCTCTCCCAAGGTCCCCATGCTCCCAATTTTCTCAGGAGATCTTATCTTTTTCTACTTCCCTAAATTATACTTTTAAATGAGACCCATCCTTACATTAGGGAGAATAAATGTTTGAAAGAAATCAGTGGTCTGAAAGAAATTCCAGTTTTGAGAGAACGTTTGGGCAATTTTAGTCATTGGGTCTCCGATGACTGTGAACCTTACTCATTAACAAGCTATTTAAGGTGTGATACATTTTACGTAATGAGGCTGTGATTCATAGGGTTAAGTAAATAGAGACCACAGGCTTTCCACTTAAGTTATCAAACAAACAGGTGTGATCACCTTGTAGCCAGCCACACCTTCCCCTCTATACCATCTCTTTCTCCCTACCTCTCTCTCCCTTCCTTCCTCCCTCCCTCTCTCCCTCCCTCCCTCCCTCCCTCTCTTCCCTCTTTCCCACCCTCCCTCCCTCCCTCTCTTCCCTCCCTCTTTTTCTCCCTCTCTCCTTTCCACGTGATCCAGTTAAATGA